TGCCATCTTAAGGGACCAGATAAAACACAATCCAATGGCTACATGATCTTGCCTCACATTTTCACTCTGGGTATGTCTACACTTGCGCCCTCTTTCGAGAGAGGGATGCAAAATGAAGACATTCGAAATGACAAATGAAGCCGGGATTTAAATATCCCGCGCTTCATTTGCATATTCATATTATGGCGCTATTTCAAAATAACCACGTCTTAACAGCGTCTGTTATTTCGAAATAGCGCCGTAACGCAAATATGCAAATGAAGCTCGGGATATTTAAATCACGGCTTCATATGCCATTTCAAATGTCTTCATTTGCATCCCTCTCTCAAAAGAGGGTGCAAGTGTAGACATACCCTCTGAATCAGAGAACAGGCCTGCTCCTTTTGGGAGCCACTTACCACCTTTTCAAGTGTGGCTGAAACAGAAACACAACTGATGCTTACAGTCACACCAACACCAAATTTTCCCCCCATTGGACACTACTGTGCATTTATGATCCAAGAACCAAAGTTAACTGTTGAAATCCAGAAAACAGAGGGAAATCCCGGCTACCGTATTTCAGGTGAAACGCACCCCACTGAGGAATTCTAGGGGTTATTTTGAGCACTGCCTTAGTACACAATGTTGATAAGAAAGAATACAGAAAGTAGGGCTAGTCCTACTGCAAGACAAACTTTGCATTTATGGAACCAAGACATACCACGAAGGTAGCGTGAACTGGTTGAGCCTTAGAATCTTATGCCAAGAAGGTGGTATGTTAGCTTAATTCAAACTGACATGACTCCAGATCACCACCATGTACATCAGAAGCCGTATTTGCTATATGCATTGCCATGTAAAACTTTCATCACCGGAGCACTGGGCAAACACCATCCTACATGCTGCGACTTCACGTATTCATTATTCATAGGCAAATATCCAATACAAAAGCTTGCACATGGCTCTGAGGTGCCGCTCCTTAGACAAGTCAATTCTGTTCTCGCCCCCACTAGACCAGTGTCTGTTAAAACGGGGTTTCTTTTTAAATACACAGAACAAAAGCCACTCAAGAGTGGGGAGAGGACCCATGCCTAGGAGCTGGACCGGTGCTGATGGAACAGATCTCTAGTAAGGAGCAGAATATTTATTGCCATTCTCTTGACGACCTCCCTAGAAACCCGCGACGAAGCTGGGTGCCTGTGTCTGAATGGGAAAAGTTCGAGTGGGTGTGGAAAGTCGCGAGTAGCCAAGTAAATGCCGAGCTGCAACTGGAAAGGTCAAAAGCCTTCTATTGTAGCCATTAACATTTCCCTGGCAGCAAGTCCTAGCAGCAGCAAGGGAACATCCACCCAAGAAAGAGGAAGTTTCTCTCTTACAAAATTATTTTGCCTTAGGGCGATTAGGTTTGGTGAGAAATTCTCAGGTCAGATTTAGGGATGTTAAAATGCATTTGGGTAAATGTGAATCTGCTGATATTTTCAGCAGATGTACATTTACATGGGGGGGCGGGAGCCACTTCAGAGGCAGCAGCATGTGTGTGTGTGCGGGGGGGGAGGGGGGTGCTCCATGGGCCCTGGTAGTCATAGGGAACACCGGCTTCCCCCCAGCTGCCTCTGTGGAAGGCAGTGGGGAGGGGGCAGGCAGCTTCGTGGGAGCGGGCACATGTGGGGAGCTGGTTTAAAAGCTGGTTTCCACCTCCCTCCCCCACGCCGGCTGCCTCTCATACAAAGGAAGCGGGGATGGGAGGTGGTGCGCGTGTAGACGAGAGGGTTAACCGACGAGCCCTGACTCATCGGTCGTGCGCGTGTAGGCGAGAGGGTTAACCAACGAACCCTGACTCATCAGTCATGCGCGTGTAGGTGAGAAGGTTAACCGACGAGCCCTGCCTCATCGGTCATGCGTGTGTAGGTGAGAAGGTTAACCGACGAGCCCTGCCTCATCGGTCATGCGCGTGTAGGTGAGAGGGTTAACCGACGAGCCCTGCCTCATCAGTCATGCGCGTGTAGGTGAGAAGGTTAACAGACGAGCCCTGCCTCATCGGTCGTGCGCGTATAGGCGAGAAGGTTAACCAACGAACCCTGACTCATCAGTCATGCGCGTGTAGGTGAGAAGGTTAACCGACGAGCCCTGCCTCATCGGTCGTGCGCGTATAGGCGAGAAGGTTAACCGACGAGCCCTGCCTCATCGGTCGTGCGCGTATAGGCGAGAAGGTTAACCGACGAGCCCTGCCTCATCGGTCGTGCGCGTATAGGCGAGAAGGTTAACCGACGAGCCCTGCCTCATCGGTCGTGCGCGTATAGGCGAGAAGGTTAACCGACGAGCCCTGCCTCATCGGTCGTGCGCGTATAGGCGAGAAGGTTAACCGACGAGCCCTGCCTCATCGGTCATGCGCGTGTAGGTGAGAGGGTTAACCGACGAGCCCTGCCTCATTGGTCGTGCGTGTAGCTGAGAGGGTTAACCAACAAGCCATGGCTCATCAGTTAACTGTGTACTCGGCTCCACGCTCACATTCCTAGTCAAATTCTTGCTCTTGTCTGAAGTGGAGGAAACTTGCCCCTCGCTCTGTTCTGAAGATGTAATTAGCAGTTGGTGTATTTAAATGGGAGTTTTAGGTCAAAAAGGCAGTCAGGGCAGACGCTCCTCATTTCCAGCATCTTGTGCAATAGGACACACTGGCAAGATGTGACCATCTGTTTCAAGTGTGAAGGTCCCATGGTGCAACCTTGTTCACACAGAGCAACAGGCTGATACCGAAGTGTGTTAAGCAACCATCGCACCCTAATCTGCTTGAAAAACTGAGGAGCATTCCCTTGTACCAGTTACCCAGACAAGCCGGGAGCAAATCTAGTACTCAATATAACTCCGCACTGATTCCGTCAGCTAGCAAGCGGGAAGCTGCGGCAGCGAATGTATTCACAGACCACAGCTGCTCCTCAGCATGTCCAGAAATCACAGCAGTGATGTTCAAGGAATCCCATGCTCTCTATAGAGTAGGAGGATACAACAGACTGTAAATATACGAGATCAAAGTCACGTCTGAAACTAGCCTCAGTGTTAAGAATTTTGTCTAATGGCCTCAATTATTTATAATTAAGATGGAACACCCCCGTTCCCTGCCATCTGGAAGGGGCCTGAAGCACGAAGTTGCAGGATTTCTTCTTACACAAGGACTTTACCACCCCAGAATAAAAATAAAGGGCAAACACTTTTAACACAAATAATATCAAATCGGAAACAAAGCCAGAACGCTTGCATGGAAAGATCAACGGAGAATCGTCAGGGCTGATTTAAAAGTTGCCCTTGTTTAACTAGACATGGGATGTCGCCCCGATGGAGTTAGACAGATTCACCCTTGTGCGTGGACAAACATTGGTTGAAATCTGGTTGATATGTTATGTAACAGGCGCAAGAAAAATCAATGCACCATCCTACCTCGGATGCAAAAAGGTTTAAACTCAAGTGTGCCAAACAAAGCTGCCCCTATTTAATTAAATCAGGAAGCTGCCTCTCTCAACTTTAAAAAAAACTTGTGGGTAAACCAACCCCAAGTGTGCATGCAGCAGCTGAAGCAGAAGTCACTGCTCTCTGCCTTGGGACTCCGGCCCAAAGACTAAGGAAGGCAGCAGCACTGAAAGTCTTGACAAATGCTGCAATTAGCAATAGCTTTCTTCCTCATCGTCACAAATTCCTCTTTCAGAACTCGCCCGCCGCGCTTGCTGCAGTTCAAGCGAAAGCCATGGGGGAAAGGAGGCTGTTTTGTTACAGAAAAGATTAGGCCACAATTGACTCACTCTTGGCTCATGCTTACAGGCAGCGGAGAGGAAAGGCGGTCCCTTGCCAGGGTCAGTATCTTGTAGAGCGGAGGAGAGAAGCAGCCACCATCCTTCACCTAGCAACATCAGCGCAGTTACATCTGCGCAAACCCTTGCTGTGCATATGCTGCAGCCGTACAGTCCAGCTGGGTAACACACTAGAGAAAACCCGCTGCACCATGTCTACTAGGGACGTGAGTGTTGGACTGGTTAACGGGTAAGCCTCACTCTTAATGGGTGTGTTTACCGGTTACGGTTAACCGGCAGAAGCTGGAGACGCCCCTCCCACGGCGGGCAGGGGGCTGCTCCAGTCCCACGGGGCCCATCGTGGATGGGACGGGGCGCCACTCCAGCCTAGCCACAGCAGCCCCAGTCCACCGGCTCTCCCCATTTCACAGAACCGTAAAGCTGGAAGAAACCTCAGGTTCATTGGTTAACTGGTTAAACGTAACAGTTAATCCAGGGGAGGGGAACCTTTTTTGGGCCGGGGGCTGCTGACCCACAGAAAAAACAATTGGGGCAAGTGAGAAGCAAAAAATCAATCAATCAATCCATAAAAAACTCACTGACGTGGCGCCTGAGAAGACGACAGGCATTTCCCATATTCCCCTCACACACCAGAGCCTTGGGGGGTCCTGGCTAGTAGATTCTGTTTGCTGCAGTTCCATGGGGAGATAGTCGGGGGGACTGAAGCACCAGCGTGGGGGCCGGATCGAGGGGCCGGATCCAGGCAAGCTAGGGGCCACATCCGGCCTCCAGGCCTTAGGTCCCCCACCCGATTAACAATAAATTGGGGTTTTACATCCCTAATCTCTATGTTATGGCTTGGTGCCAATGTAAGTCGGTACCCTGCTGTGTGTTTCCTTAGCCTAGAAACAGCCCAGGTTGGGCCGTTAGCCTGTACGCCGGAGCCCTGAGCAAAGCCCTGCAAAACACGGTGTGTAGGAAAAAGCAGCTTTACTGAGGGCTGGTTTTTTTGCCTCTTTCCTGGGCAGAAGTCACGGAGGTGCCCCATTTACAGGCGTGACTAGGATTCGTAATTCCAATAACCGAAGGCTCCCATGGGCTCCTACTGAGATGCAGCTAGCAGGGTGCGTGCACTTTTTATCCTCCCCCTCGAACGCACAGCTACACCGGGGCACACCCAGCCACCGTGCGAGCGGCGCGTGGCCCCTGCCAAGCCCTCTTTCCACACTCAGGCGGCCTTACCCTGCCAAGAAGGTTGCCTTGAAGCAGTGTCTGCTGCAGCGCTCCCGGGGCCACCTCCTCGAGATGCAACACATGGCACAGATCGGTCAGCTCCTCCTGCCCCAGGGATCCAGTGCCCGTGCTGTCAAAGCTGTCGAAGAGCTCCTTGAGACGGGCTTCATACTGGTCCTGCTCAGCTTCACCCATCCCATCGCCCACCACGCTCGCCTGCGGGGAAGAAGAGACATCGGACCGTTAGGCTGATAAGGGGCTTTACTGGACACACTTTTGCATGCTGAGCCATGCAGGCGATTAACATAAGAACGGCCACGCTGGGTCAGAACAAAGGCCCATCTAGCCTGGTATCCTGTCTGCTGACAGCGGCCAATGCCAGGTGCCCCAGAGGGAATGATCCCTCCCATCCAGTGATCCCTCCCATCGCCCATTCCCAACTTCTGACAAACAGAGGCTAGGGACACTATTCCTGCCCATCCTGGCTAACAGCCACCGATGGACCTAGCCTCCATGGATTTACCTAGCTCTTTTTGAACCCTGTTAAAGTCCTGGCCTTCACAACATCCTCTGGCAAGGAGTTCCACAGGTTGACTATGTGCTGCATGACAAAAAACTTCCTTTGATTGGTTTTAAACCACCAAATGCAAACCTATTAATTGCGTTTGGTAATTCCTAGTGCTTGTGTTATTGCACAGTAAACAGCTTCACCAGCAGTGCCGAGTGAGAAGTGTAGCAATCCAAGGGCTGACGTGACACCCGGCTAAAACGCCCAAAAAGAGAAACAAATCAACTGCTAACGCTGAGCAAGAGAACACACATTCATGCTACTTCAGTGGCTCTGTGCCTCTTCACAGAGGGTATTTCAGAAGCTCTAACTCATCTTGGCTTTACAGACTTCCACAGCCCAGCAACAGAGTAGCGTATTTTCTCACCCACGCACGTTACCTGCAGCAACACTCAATCTGCATCAACAGACGTGGACAGCGAAAGAAAGATGATCATAGCGACCTTTAGACACTCAAAAGTCAGCTGTTACCGCCCACTGTCTCTATTGTGAAGACAGAGATGGATCCCTGATTCTAGCAGAGATTTAGGAAAAACTAGTTAGGGCTTTGGGATTTCTTGTTAGGATGCTGTTATGGGAGTCCACCATGGTTGTGATGATTTTTAGTTCTCTCTCAATCCCCCAGCACCACCATTTCAATTAAGAAAAAGGACCCATTTGGTCACACGGAAGCCCAGTGGTTAAATGTATCGCAGAAGGCAAGTCCCATGCAAGTTTTTTTCAAGGTTTCAGAACAATTAGGCCCAATTCCTGACCTGTGAACTTTAGCAGACTGAAAGCATCACCCTATGTTAATACCAGAACCACGTAACTTACCCTGAACATGAGCTTCAATATGAACACGCATTGCAAGGAGTGTCATTTGGCTGAGTGGCTGGAGTGTAGCACCGAAGGCCTGGTTAGCAACACTCATTAGCTCAGCTTTATTCAGCAGAGACCCAATTCATAATTACTCCTGCACTGCACAGAGGGGGCCACCTCCTCCCCCCACAAATGACTGAATGAGTCAAGGTGATGCAAATAGCTTTGCTGTTTGCATGATAGTACTAGCCCCTTCACACCAGTTCATCAAAACATGGCTTGTTTAGCTTCCCGGGAGCCAGCAGATATGGGGAGGTAGGAAAAGATTGTTCCCAAGAGCTCCATTGATTCCCTAGGTGGTTAGGTAATGATCTGTCTGCATTAGCAAGAAGAAAAACAACAGGCCAGGTAAAAACAGAACTCACCAGAGCTCCCTGTAAGCAGTGCGCTTGTGCAGCCACTCAGGAAAGATTTAAATGCCAGTCAGCTGATTAGCAAAGTGCCCACAGCTGGGGCTTTTTGTTTCTACTGGTGGTGCACATTTGCACATGCCTTGGTGCACATACAAATTTATTCCGCACGTGGACGGAAAAGATAAGAAGGTACATTGGAGCTGACTATAGTTCAAAGGTCTGAAGCAAGACTAAGGGAATATCTACACAGCACAGGTTTTAGTGACAAGGCTGTATGGACACAGCCTTGTTGCTAAAAGTCAGCTTATGCCAGGCATGTCCAAAGTCCGGCCCGCGGGCCAATTACGGCCCGTGTTCTGGTTTAATACGGCCCCACAGGTAATTTGGCAATATCTGTCTTTTATGGCCCCCAACGAATCCATATGTATTGAGATGAATACACTGTAAAATCTCAGTTAATGTCAGTTGGTCTAAATCAGTTATAAATATATTTGGACACAACATGTATACTTGGTGTTATGTTCCTGTTCATATTTTTTGAACTTAAAAGTTGACAGACAACCTTTATTAACAATAATATGCAATGTACTTTACAATGTTCCTGACATATATTTCAGCTTCCTGGATTTTTTTTTCATCTGGCCTTCAGATATGAAAGGCAGAGTGATTTAACACCTGTTTAGATTTGTCATCCATGTGACGAAATGAAAAGTATGCCGTTTGCAATAAACTTTGCATAAAATAGTTAATTTGCATTTAATTTTAATGGTTCAAAGAATGTCAGGCAAAATGGTCGGCCCTCACGCATGTTCACTTCATCAAATCTGGCCCTCTTTGAAAAAAGTTTGGACACCCCTGGCTTATGCGAATGCTGTTCAGTCTGCACTTTGGCCGACAAAATATTTCCGCCCCTACGAGAGGGGTTCACTTGGTCGGCAGGAGAATGCTCCTGCTGACAAAGCACCAGTCACATTTTCACTTGAAGTGGCAAAACTTTGTGGTTCATAGCGGGGGGGTTTTAAAGCACCCAAGTACGACAAAAGTTGTGTCACGCATATGCAACTCTAGATATACCCTAAGGGACAAACTTCTAGAACCGATCATCTAAGATGTCTCATGTTACATCTTAGCTGCCCTCCACCCCTTTATCCTTGGCCTCTGCAATTAGACTGCACGCTGGGCCATGCTAGCTTGCTTCATCTTCAGCATCCTACATCTTGCCCATCTCTTGGGTGGCTGTCTATCAGCAGGA